TTCCTTCTCAAATTCAGCCAAGCACTTCAAACACTCATGGAGATTCAAGGTTTAACTCTTGATTGCAACAATTGAGAGTTTTTTTTTTGGTATATAAATACTTTAATGTAATTAAAAGTGGACAAGATGGGACTTGAATATAGGAAATTCGATGCATAGCTTATAAAAGCAAATTTAGTCTCACATCCTCTAAGAGATTGAGTGAGTGAGAGAGAAATGACTATATATATGACCCATTGTGTAGTTTTTTCAATATATTTGAATAAAATCAAGCTTAGTGTGTGAAACTTGTAAACATTGCTTGTACCCTGGTTGCTTGCTATCAAGATTCATCTTGAGAGTTCTTTCTCCTACTCTCCAATACAAGGAGCCTTCCTTGGAGGAGCTAGTATCAAGTTTTTTGAGAAACTTGGGAAAAAAAATTTGATTGTTCTTAGTGTAGGGTGGTCCGAGACTCTTTTTTGGTGGAAGGAGAAAGAACTTTCTATCAATTTGGTATCAAGAGCTAGGCATAGAGGTGAGGTCTTCAAGATATAAGTACTTTCATCTTTTCTTCTTCTTGTCTTTGATTTTTTTATCATGTATGCAATTGTTTGAGTCTTCTTTGAGTCATATGTCACTCAATCATTATGTCTTAATTTTCTTGTAATTAATTCATTGTTAAGTTTTTTTCTTCAATCAATTGTATGTTTTGAAAATTCTACAAAATGTTGTATGCTTGAGTAGTCATATATTTTCTTACTTAGCTTTTAATTTTATAATATTCCATGTTGTCTTAGATATTATGTTTAGTCTTTATATATTCATAATTTTCTATATGTTATCCCATATATGCTAAAAAAATAAAATTGTTTTTGTATAAACATAAAAATAGAGTATTGCATCATTAGGAACCTTTAACTATGTTGCGAATTGGCTTGTACTTTTGATTTTAGTTTTTTTTTTATTGCTATTAGATCATTAGCAAAATTTCCAAAACTAAATTATGCTTTAAGCATGTAAAGGTTGTGTTCGATTATGTTTTGAACATGTTACATTATTTTGGATTTAGTCGAATAGAAACCATGAAGTTGTTTGAAAAAATGATAAATTGAAAAAGGCTAAGTTTCACAAATTTACAAATAGAAATTTTGGAATTGAAAAAAACAAATTGCATAAAAAAAAATAAGGGCAAAAGTTGAGACTTAGAAAGGAAAAGAAAGGAAAGTATTTTGTAACTCATGATTAAGTCCCAAACTCCTTGAACTACTAGTTGAATTGAAAAATTGCATAAATAGAGGAATATTTGGGAGCTCATGTAGGTCATAACTTAAACGAGTCAAGCTAAAATAAGTTTGATTTAATTTTGGTCACAAGTTTTTTTACTTAAATCTATTTATCAAGTATTTTAAACTGGTTCGTTAGATTAAACTTATTTTGACATCCTAAATATATCTATAAATTTGATTCAATTTTTTTTTTCTTACATTTGATGCAAGTGATAATTACAAGTTTTAAGGATCTTATTTCTCTTTTATTTTTACTTTTTTAACAATTAATTATTTTTATAATAATCAATAATTATTTAATTTAATTTTAATAATTTATATTTTTTTAAATAATTTAAATTATTATCATTATTTTAATAAATATTTATTTATTTTTAATAATAAATTAACAATAATATATATTTTTCATATAATTGAATCTTTCATTATAAAATTATTTAAATTACTCAAAATATTATAATTTATTATATTATATTTGAAAAATTTTAGATAATAAATTTTGAAGTGTTATATATTTTTTCTTTTCCTTTTCTTTGTTTTTTCTCTCCTCTCTTCATTTTTTTATTTTTTTGTTTTCTCTCTTTCTCCTTTCCTCTTTCATTCTTCTCTTTTTTTTTCATCATTTTTTTAACTCATTAGCCCCTTTTATATTTGTATTTTCAATTTTCTTTTTAATTTATTTTAATTCTATATTTAATGCATATGATGATGAATTACAACTTTTCAAATGAAGTTTATCTCTCATCTACCAGGAGATAAACCATTCTTATCTCATTTTTTTAGATAATTAATTAATTTTTTAAATATCATTTTTTAATTATTTTTATTATTATTTTCTTATTATTTTTAATAATAATTTTAATAATAATTTAAAAAAAATAAATAGGTATTTTATTATAATAATATTTAAATTACCTACAAATATTATAATTTAATATATTATATTTTAAAAAAATTCATAATAAATTTTAAGGTATTACAATATAGATTTCATGGAAAAAACTAAAATGATAAGAAATTTCCAAAAAAAATTCTATGTATAATTATTAAAATTTGTTATTGTTAAAGATTTATAAAATTTTAATTTCTTTAAACAGTTTATTTAACCAACGTATTTGCAAATTATTTCTACTATAAATGATCTTTTCAAAATTCTTCCTACTGCGAGGCCCAATGACAAAATTAGAATATACTATGACTAAAAATTTTGTAATTAATATAGTAAACTAGAAAGTTTGTGTAATTGTGTCCAAACTTTTGATTTTAACTCATAAAAATTAGTTTAAGTCAATGAAAATAAAAGTAAAAAATAGTCTAAATTCTTTTTCTCTCATATTATTATTTCAATAAAGCATGATAAACATGTAAAATCTTATTCTCCAACATTCTCACAAGAAACTATTATTTTTACAAGTTTGGACATTTCTGCAAACAAGAATCCGCTACATCAGTCACAACCCCACGAGCATCTGTACATAAAACCAAAGAATGTGTAAAAAAATTAACTAATTTCATTATAAAATAAATAGTAAATAAATATATTATTGTAATTAAAAAATAAATACCAATATTGATGGTGATGGTCTTATTCACGCCACACCCACTAACGCAGTTGAAGACATCCGTATTAGGCGTCTTAAAGCATTTTACTATACAGCCAGAAAAACATGCGGCATATGGAATGGGTGAAACCAAACATTGTAAAGCACAATTTTTAGCACAGTTGACGATGGACTCACTTCTTACAATTTCGACACAACACAAAATTATCATAATCGAAATTGCAACACTACTACTTTTCATCCTATTTTTCTCCATCACTTTTCTCTCTCACTCTCTAAATATTCTTTGCTTCTGTATGTTTTAAGTGAAATGGATATCAATTTATAGGCACAGGATGATGTTTGGAAGGTAAGTTTCACTCCTCATTCAAATTATGTATCATTAGTAAATGTATTAATTTTTACTTTAAAATATGTTAGACTGTTTCTTAACATATTTCATTTATGAATATTTAAATTAAAATTGTAATGACTAGTCAAGATAAATTAGTCCAATTTTAATCACTTTTTTAGTGATATTTACTCATTTCAATCTCCAACGTTTAATCTTCATCTACAATATCATCAAATTTTCATAAATAAATATTATTATTTAAAAACAATCAAATAATATAAATATAAATTAATAAATAGGATCAATGTATAACTAGAGGGAGATAAAATAAAATAAACAAATAGGACCAAGTACATAACCAGAAATAAATAAATAAGATCAATACAAGACCGAAGATAAATAAATAAACTTAAGGTAGGACAAGTACGAGATAATTAAAATAAGATCAGTGTATAACTAGAAATAAATAAATAAACGAAAAACAACTCAATAAATAGTTAAAGATAAATAATAAATAACAAAATAAATAAAATAAGACACATCACTCCACAACTATAATTAAAATAAAATAGATAAAATGATAATAGTCTCTTCTTCTATCTTAAGAATTGAAGATGTTACACTAAAATTTTTTCTTTCAAATTATTTTTCTTTCTCTCTCTCTTCCTTTCCCTTTCTCTCTCTCCTTCATCTCTCTTTCTTCTCCTCCCTTTCCCCTAACCCTTATTTATAATCATAATTAATTTTTTTTTACTTGCATTTATAATGCAAAAGATAAGATAAGATTATATTTATTATTTTAATCAACCTATTTATTTGTCATGCAAAAATAACAATAACAGGTTGAAAACTTTAAGAAAATGAGACATGAGTTTAATAATTTTGATATCTGAATAAGGTATTTAAACTTGTGTGACCCAGAATAAGGTAAATTCAGACTTTAATAACTCATACTTGAGTAAAGTATATATATAACTCATATGATTCTGAGTAAGATAGATGCAAATTTTGATTATTTATATATCTAAGTAAGATATGTATAACTCATGTATATATATAACTTGTATAACCTTGAGTAAGGTAAAATCAATGGAAAAGCTTCACACGGTATCTTATGTTAAATCATACAAAAATATTAATAAAAAACATAAATTTGATAGAGAATATTATTAAAAATTTCAAATTTTTATTCGGCATGTAAACTTATTTAAATTTAAGTAATTAATTAGTCTCATAAATTTTTAGAATTTTAATTTTAATTTCTTTTTAAAAATTTATCTAATCAACTTGTTTTCTTATGAAATATTTCAAATTCTTTGTAGTATAAACTTTCTTAAAAAAAAATTCAATTCAAATATACTGTTAAATAAGATTTGTATTCTTTATCTTTGCTATTCTTACAAGTGTAATTGCATTATTGTTTCTTAACAAGAAAAAATATCATCATATATTTATTCAAATGTAGTTTTGTGATTTATAAGTAAAATTAAAATTTATTAAATACATAGGTTATGTTCATAAACTATGTCTAAGACGAGTCTTTGTTTGTTTGAGGATTAATTCATTTTTGTTTTATAAAAAAATGTATCATTTTATTGCTGTGAAATATTCTTCAATTAATTGATTATAATAAGTTTTGATGTACTATTGAATATTATTTTTTAATTTGTAATCGAGATATTTAAAAGTAATTTTCCATAAACTTTTGACTAATAAAAATGAGTCATATTAACTTAATCAAATGAAAATTAAAGGAAATAATTTTTTTTATAATTTTATTACAACAATAGGAGAAACATGTAAAATCTTGTTCTCCAACATATAAAGTTATTACTTTTACATTCTCAGACACTTTTGCAAACAAGAATCTACTACACCAGCCACAACACCACGATCATCTGTACATAAAACCAAATAAAAAAAATATAAACACATAACGAATTTAATTTTTAAAAATAAAGTATTAATCAGATATCAATGAACAAAGAGAGAAAAAAAAAATACCAATTTTGATGGTGATGGACTTGTTGACGCCGCAAGTCTTAGCACAATTGTAGGCATCGGTGGACATGTGAGGAATACATTTTGCAACACAACCAAGAAAGCACAACGGATAAACATTTGAAGTTACACAATCTACGGCACATTTCAAAGCACACGCGAGCTGTGACTCAACTTTTGCCATCTGCATAAAACCCAAAGTAATCATGATCAAAATTGCAACTTTAGTCCTGTTCCTCCTATTTGTTTCCATAACTACTTTTCTCTAAGTCTCTACTCTCTTTCTCGATGTTATTATGGATGCTCTTCTTGTCATGTTTCAAAGAAGCCGAATATCAATTTATAGACCCTTAATAATGTTTCTAAGTTAACTAACTTCAACTCTTCATTAAGATTGTCGGTCATAGCCTTTCAACATTAAGAGGCCACGTCAAATTGATGTGTGTATAAATGATTGGATGAGACTAAAACATATTTGACTTCACATTACTTATTTTTATTATTATTTTTTCAAACCCACCCGTTACTCCAGATTTTAATCAGGTTGAATAGAATTCAACTGATATATCTTTGGTTGAGGTTTCTCAGTTCTTTATTAAACAATGTTGTTGGGACTATTTTCAAATGGAAGTAAACCAATTTTTTTTTTAAGTTTGTAGTAATTATTTTTAACTGATGGCTGAGAATATTTTCCAATATTGTGATATAGTACTATAATATTTTGTTATATTAGATGCTAATATATATATATATATATATATATATATATATATACAAAATTTAAATTTAATAAATTTAAATTATTTTATCAAAATCAAATATTTTAAAAAATAAAAAATTTAACTTATTTAAATTTATTGTTTATCATAAAATTTCTTATAAAAACACAAAAGTAATGGAACTCAGAATCAATCATGTACAAGTGATATTGATTAACGTTTGGTCAAACAAATTAATATATATTAAATTTCATAATTATTATATTTAATAAAATCATTAATGTGAAATACGTATTTATTTAATAAACAAAATCATTAATACTTTTCAGTGTTTGTATAAATACTAAGTTAATAATACGTACAGTGCATATATATTAAGTATTCATTTATTATTAAATTCATATATGATGTAACATTTTTTTATTCGTCGGAAACTTAAATTATATATATGAAAAATGATATTTGATTTTTTTTTAATTGAATTAATTTATTTAAAATATTAAATTATATTCTAAATTTCATAATCTAGAATTAAAAAAAATTATATATTTTTTATCCATTCATCCAATTTTATTTTATTTTCAATCAGAAAACTTCAAAAATATACACGTCACTGCTCCCATAAACTAGCAACACTGTTATAGTCCACACAATGAAACCGTTTTTTTTTTTTTTTTGGGTCAAAACTTAGAGCAACAGTCTGGCAAATTTTAAAGTAAAAATGAATACATTTACTAATGATACATAATTTTAAGGAGGAGTTAAACTTAGTTTCCAGACATTATCCTGCGGCTATAAATTGATATTCATTTCACTTAAAACATACAGAAGCAAAGAATATTTAGAGAGTGAGAGAGAAAAGTGATGGAGAAAAATAGGATGAAAAGTAGTAGTGTTGCAATTTCGATTATGATTATTTTGTGTTGTGTCGAAATTGTAAGAAGTGAGTCCATCATCAACTGTGCTAAAAAATGTGCTTTAGAATGTTTGGTTTCACCCATTCCATATGCAGCATGTTTTTCTTGTTGTATATTAAAATGCTTTAAGACGCCTAATACTGACGTCTTCAACTGCGTTAATAGATGTGGCGTGAATAAGACCATCACCGTCAATATTGGTATTTATTCTTTAATTACAATAGTATATTTATTTATTATTTATTTTATAATGAAATTAATTAATTTTTTTATATATTCTTTGGTTTTATGTACAGATGCTCGTGGGTTTGTGACGTATGATTATTTTAATACTATATTAATATTACTTGTGCAAGAAAACTTCGTAACGAAGTTTTCCTCATGCACAGTAAAAATTTTCTTATATATATGAATACTGAAGCGGGGGAGGAGGAAAATAAAAAATTTTCCTCTCATCCTTCTTCTTCTATTGTCTAAGTTTCAAGCAACGAGACTCTACTCGTGCAGGATCTGGTGAAACGGGAGAGAACCTGAATTAGGTGGGAAAGCTTCGGTAGAAATACCATACCAAGTAAGGGGAAGTTTAATTCATTCAATATATGAAATTGAATTGCTGGGTACTCTGTGAATAATGAATAGGAGTAGAAATATGAAGTATTGAAATGTCTAATTTTGAAGAATTTGTCAAATTGATGAAGAGTGATCGTTCCGAAGCTTTCTTTTGAAATTATTGAAATTAAGAATGAATTATATACTAAAATTGTTGTTTTTAACTTAAATTGAACATGTTTATGGTTAAATTTTGATTTGGAACTAATTTGGGTGATTGAAACTGAAAAATTTGAAATCTGGAATTCGAAAATGGCGAACTGGAAAACCTGTAAAATTCGCTCAAGCGAAAAATACGTCGCTTGAGCGAGGATACTTAGAAAATTTGGGATTCTCGGGTTCTTTCTCGCTCAAGCGACCGATGTACTCGCTTGAGCGACGAAGACTTAAAAGAAAGGTCAACTTCGGGCGTTCTCGCTCAAGCGACCGGTGGACTCGCTTGAGCGACGAAAGTCTTCAAACAAAGGTGACTAAGGGTTATGTCTCGCTCAAACGACAGCTGTACTCGCTTGAGCGACGAAGACTTCAAATAAAGGTGACCTTCGGGTCAATTCTCGCTCAAGCGACCGGTGTACTCGCTTGAGCGACGAATGTCTTCAAACAAAGGGGACTCTAGGGTCAGGTCTCGCTCAAGCGACTGGTGTACTCGCTTGAGCGACGAAGCCTTCAAACCACGGGGATTCTCGGGTTCAATCTCGCTCAAGCGACCGCTGTACTCGCTTGAGCGAGCGAAGGAAGAAGAAAGGGATATGGTGTGGATTTTTAAAAGATTAAGGGCAAAATAGTAATGATTTCGAAAATGATTTCAAAAATAATTCGGAAATAGTTTCGGAAATGAATTCGAAAATGATTTTTAGGAAAATATATATATAAAGAGAGAGAAAGAATGAAATTAGAGTATTGTGACGTGTGTGGGTCAGACTGAGCCTGAGGGCTGATGCCCAGAATCAGTCCTGAGACGTTATATATTGGCTAGACTGAGCCGGAGGGTTAGTGTTAGAATCAGTCAAATACTATTTTTATTGACTCGAATGAGCCGTGAGGACAGGTGGTCCAGAATCCGACAAATGTGAATAAATTTTGTATGTTTGAATGGTACCCGGGGTGGTACAGAGTACATTAGTGTAATAACTATGTCAGAGGATTCTGAATGAGGTCCCAGACTTCACTGATTGGTCGGGTCAAGTAGACTACGAGATCAGGTGGTGAGAAGTCGATGGGGGGATGACTGGTGGCGCGCTCGGAGGGGTACTCCAGTATGAGTGATGAAGGGCGCCAGAAATCCTACTTTGTGTGGAGGGTGGTCAGAATGGTACTGCGGGTACCGATCACAATGTGCCCACAGATGATAGCCTCTGAGTTCGGGCATAGTTAGAGTATACTTCCGGAAGGTGTCGTAGTGTGTTGATAATTTCGTAATTGAGCATAATATATAATTCTATATCTGTTTTATTATATCGAATGATTTAATACTTACCCCTATTTTTCCATGTGGATGGGACTGCGATGATCACTTTTATGTGGGAGCAGATCAGGAGTTGAGAGATGGTGATGTGACTACTGGACAGCAGGGATAGTTCAGTGGGATAGCTTCAAGGGAGATACTTTTACATGTATAATGTATAAATAAATCATGTTACTATATTTTAAAGTTCTGTTAGTGAACTGGAATTTCAATACATGTTACAATTACAATAATATAATGTAAAATAGATGTTATTTACTTGTTTACTACTTTGCGAAGACATCGTTATAGTAGCGATTTCTAGGGTCGTTACAATAGTGGTATCAGAGCGGTAGTATCCTTGTAAATCTGTGGGGATGGGTAGTGAACCTATGATAAGTCCGTTGTAATTATACTCTGATTGTGAGTGTGTGAATGTTTGCTTTGTATTGATTGTTGCGTTTGATATAGGATGGCACCGCGACCTCCTACTCCTACTCCTGCTCCTACTCCACCGAGTGTAGATGCCCTAGCCAGGGCAATGAAAATGTTGGCAGCTGTCATGCAGCAGCAGGCTACCTACCCACAGTGGAGGCCAACTATGGCATCATCCTCTGTTGGATATCACCAATCAGAGCAGATGGGACTGACTGATTTCATGAGGCATAATCCGCCTCGTTTTGGAGGAGATTTGGGTTCAGATGCAGCAGAGAAGTGGTTGCGTGAAGTGGAGAAGATTTTTGAGGCTACCTTATGCCCGGAAGACAGGAAATTGACATTCGGGAAATACTTACTAGTTGATGAGGCTGAGTTCTGGTGGTCAGGGACTCAAAGGATGATGATTGCAAGTGGGGAGGTGTGTAATTGGGAAACTTTCCGTGAGAGATTTCTGGAGAAATACTTCCCTGACAGTGTTAGATTTCAGAAGGAGACTGAGTTCCTGAGTCTGAGACAGGGTAATATGATGGTGCATGATTACGCCATACGATTTGAGCACTTATCTCGTTTCTACACGAGTACAACTTCGCAACGGTGGCTTTGCAGGAAGTTTGAGGAAGGCTTGAGGGCTGAGATCAAGCTCATGGTGGTTCCTTTCTCTATCGGAGATTCCCGTAGCTGGTGGAGAAGGCGAAGACAATAGAGAGACTCCGGGAGGGAGGAGTCGGAGTGATGAGGACCCACTCAAGTGGGGTCCCGAGTAGGGGTAGTAGATCGAGAGGAGGATGCCTTATTCACGCCCCAGCCTTCCAGGAGTGGCGGTGTTACCCCAACACCTCGATCATCGGGATCTCGTATCCGGGGTAAAATGTTTTCAATGTGGAGGCCCTCATTACAGGAATCAGTGCCCACGTAATGCCTTCACTAATCCTTCCCGCACTTCTCGGCAGGTCTTTGCTACACTTGCCGAAGCCGGGACATATGGCTAGAGACTCGTCCACGTAATCCCAATGTTATAGTCTCAGCTGGGGCATCATTAGCACCCGGGAGGAGTGACGCGAAACCCGGAGTCGTAGGATCGGGTGTTTGCCTTGTCGGGAGCAGAGGCATCGAAGTCGGAGAATTT